GCGGAAGCGAATTGACCTTATCATTTGTGGTACGTAGAGTACCACAAAAGGGTACACCCATAGAAAATATGATATATGGCATTATTATTGGTGTAGGTACTAGGTACTTACGTTCAGTAAGGCAGCTAAGTTAATTTTAGGCTAAATTTAGAATTTGAAGACAGCGAGCCTGAGCATGCAGTTATTTCTTTACAAAAGTGGGGTACTTGTATGTGTGTCCCGCAATATTCCATGCCATTACCGACTTTCTTGAAAAAAAAGAAGTGTTCCCATGAAAGCTAGATATGTAACCCACAGAAGGAAACGAAGGAAAGACATATATAATTGATCGTTATTTGTGCAACCGTGTACCAATGTCCTTTGCAAATATATTAGACAATCCATTCCACAATGCATTCTTTCCATAACTCGTTCAGTTCTCCTGTATCTCCCACATACGCCTGAATGATTGATAAAAAATTAAACTATTTATTAAAAAATTTAACGTAAAAGGGCAAAAAATAAGCATTCTTTATCCTATACAGGGGTATCCTATACAGGGAATTTGGGGGTGCTCGAGCACCCCGTGAAATTCAAAAGTCACCATATGATATTTCTTTAGCGGTGCTTAAATTACGTCTGAGACACAGACTGTTTTGCGTAAGTCGCAAGGAGAGTGATGCTGCTGGCAAAACGTACCTTTATGTGCTTTTCTACGCAAGAATTCGACGCTTCCATTCGCCAGGTGCTAGAAAAGCACCCCCTGGGATTATGACAATTCTCCGCCCCTGATCCTATACGCTTGTGCGAGATTTTTGTGACATTTCATTGAGTCAGCACACGCTGCCACCACATACAATGTGCATGGTCATCGCTACGCTCTACGGATACATGTAGGCAATAATGTAATAATTACGCATTATGTGTATTGTGCATATGTATTATGTATCTGCCTGATTAAAGTCGCATCCATCACACCCAGAGCTACAAGGGTATCCTCATTCCTCACGGCTCACATCACTAGATATTCTACTGTTTGGAAACTTTGTGAATGAAATTCCAGCGGGATTGATGTATATGTAGTTCCCGGACATCGCCAACCAAAAATCATCACTTTGATCAGATACAGTAAAGCACTGTTAACGCAATGAGCCCGATCGACCCTTTGGACTTTGGTCTCATAATCCAAACATGGAACATGCCAGAGCCTCCTCTAATGTTTACATCCAGCTAACTGAAATGCCGAACGAAATAACGACACATGCTTATACGGTCCAATTGACATTCCAATGACGCGACAAGGGGAGAAGAGAAACATGAGCTGGCCAAAAAATATCAGTTTTTTTTACTTTTATGCGCCAGAGCTCGCTTGTAGGTATTCCACGCGCCACGTGACGTTGAAGCGCCATCCATCAATGTCCACGAAGTATACCTATCACTTAACGCCACTTTCCAAGTTTTCTGCGCTCTACACCGCACTTCCTGCTCCGTTGCAATGGAGGATGTCACGTGAGCTGACGGTCAATGGGCAGCTCGTGCCGCAGCGGAAGGATGCTCCATGGAGATTGGATATCAGGCCCTAACCACTTCCTCCCGAAATGGCGCCAACTCCGCCGGTCAGCGGAGATGGTGTGTAACTCCCGGGAAGTGGAAAATCACCAGCCTAACATGAAGAGAGAGAGGAGTGAGTGAGTGAGTGAGTGAGTGAGGGGGAGGGAGAGAGAGAGAGAGAGAGAGAGAGAGAGAGAGAGAGAGAGAGAGAGAGAGAGAGAGAGAGAGAGAGAGAGAGAGAGAGAGAGAGAGAGAGAGAGAGAGAGAGGAGAGTGGAGACAACACACACGCATATTTCACTCACCAATTTTATTTCTAGGCGCTTTTTATCAATTTGCATAGCCATGATTGCGGGGACCCGACAGGCCTCAAATCCTCGCGGCATGCAGTTGTATACGGATATCTCTACAACACCTATTGGCGAGTAGGTCATCCTCCTATCAACAACCCTTGCACTAGAAATATATTCTGCGTAAACTCTTACACAGACTGAACTTTGCTGGTCCTGTATATGTTATCTGCCTCTAGAATTAATAAACATTGGTCTGCGCGCAGAGAAGTCTAGACGCCAGGCGGGTATGTATATATAAGGACGAAATCAGCTCATTCACTGACCTAACACTACTCACTGAAGTCGCCAAGGGCCACTTGTACGTTCTGTCTATTTGGAGTGAGCAGGGTAAGTCGTGCACGTGTGGCGTGGAGTTCTTCGAGTTCATTGGTGATAAGCTATGTTACTTTATTGGAAGCGAGCATTAGGTCATCAAAGGAGTGTGAGGCATTTAAGTGACATCATGACTTCGGAGGGGACTAATGTAATAACTTTACATTGTAGGGGAGACTGAGGAAGAACTGGATTATAGGCATCATTATCCCAGCCAGCTTTGAATATTTGTAAAAATTGAAATAGGGTCATTCAGCTTCCCATCAAACGCAAGACTGTAAGAGCTCAGTTCTGCTCTAATGTTTTGAGTTAAATGAAATAATAATTATTTTTCGTTGCAGCTGTGACCATTGCCATGGAGTTCGGATGATTTGTCCCATCACGTTTTAGCAGTAGGTAGGGGAGACCCGGGAGGTATGGGCCGGTTTTATTAAAAGGCAATTTTCTTCCAGTGGGCAGTGGCTAGACCCGGTTTTTTACTCTGTGTACGTGAAATTGCCTTTCGCCTGCAACGTGTGCCTGATATTCATCTGGGATCAACTATTTTGTCTCAAGATAACTTTCAATAAACCATGTGCTTTTTCGATCCATCAAAATACACCGGGAGGCATGGGCCATGGCCCGGGAGGTATGGGCCGGTGCCATGTTTCATATTCTTTTCTCGACAATGAGAATAATACTCGTAGCTGGTATCTACCTTAATCTATCTTAGAGACCAGGAACCGCATAAGCGGCCAACAGCTTACTTCATGGAGGTGACTTGGGCCCATATGTATTTCGGTAAACTCAAGCATGCACCATAAAATAAAATCAATAATATTTTTCTGTTTGAATGAAATTTGAAGTTAAATTTTCGACCTTGCGCGACAAAAATTATTCTTATTGACGGGGACATTCAATGAAAGCATCTTCGTATTTATTTAGGATCAACGGCCGGTGGGTGGCCCGAACCTCCCGGTTAGGACCCCAAAATGTGCATAGCATCTCAGCTCATAATCTTGCAAGAAAGCTTCAAATGGTCTATCCAGTCTTAATTTGCACGCTTTAAAAATTATGTTAGCGATGATCTGACATCCTAAAACGAGCCTGGTTCAAATTTATCACGAATTTTCTGTATGTGCCGTATTTTACTCGAAGAGGGGAAAAACGCTTTATCACCGCTCATTGCCAAAGAAGACTGAGGAAGATTTTGAAAATCACGTGGGATGTATGACGGAATGGCTGCTACCAGTTAACGCCGTCAAATGTGTAAAAATACGCAACACTTCTTCAAAACTGCGATGGCCCATACCTCCAGGGGGCCCATACCTCCCGGGTCTCCCCTACCTACTACCTATGCTAAGACAAATAATTTATTGATGTTCGTGTCCCCCTAAAAAAATGCAAAGCATACAAACAAGCCGCTTTCATTCTGTCATTGCAGATTATTTCTGAGGTAGGTTGTCTGTCGACAGCCATGAACATCTCCCTGGATGGCAAGCGGGTGCTGATCACTGGCGCCAGTCGCGGCCTCGGCCGGCAGCTGGCGCTGCGCGTGGTCGCCTGCGGAGGACACGTCATCGGCCTGGCCCGCTCGCACGAACAGCTGGACTCGCTGAAGGCCGAGTGTCCCTCGGTGGAGACGGTGGTCTGCGACATCAGCGACTGGGAACAGACCCGCGCCGCCGTCCAGGCGCTGGGCGACATCGACTGTTTGGTCAACAACGCCGCCGTCGGTCCACACGGGCCGATCCTTGACCTCACTAAGGAGGACATCGACACCACCTTCAATGTTAACGTCAAGGCCAACCTCAACATCATCCAGGTGGTGGTGCGCGGTATGATTGCGCGTGGCGCGCGCGGCACGATCCTCAACGTGTCCTCTCAGGCGGCGATACGGCCTCTGCTAGATCACACTGGCCTGTACGGCAGCTCGAAGGCGGCGCTTGACGCTCTGACCCGGGCTCTGGCGCGCGAGCTCGGGCCGCACGGGATCAGGGTGAACAGCGTCAACCCGACGCTCTTCAAGACGGAAATGACGCGTTTCACGTGGGAGGACCCCGTCAAGCTGGGTCAAATCCAGGGAAAGCACCCCCTGGCCGTTGGTAGGCTCTGCGAGTGTGACGATGTAGCCGACGCGATTATTTTCCTGATCAGCGACAAGGCGGCATACATCAGCGGAGTGTCGTTGCTCGTGGATGGTGCAGTCACAATATGCTAGCCGCACCTCAAACTCGATTGATGTGACGCTTGAAATGTGACTTCTCATGAGAGAGCCGGAGGGACGATAGGTCAAGAGTACCTATCTCATATCTGTCACACGTTGCGTGGAGAGTCGTTGATACATAAACATGAAGTGTGACGTGTGTGCACTGTGCAGGCCCAGTGCAAACCTTCTATCCAAATACACTTACATTGAACACAAATGTATCCAGACAACACACAGCATACGTTAACAACGAGTCGTAAGTGAGTTCAATAAAGGAACCAAAAAAAAAAAAAACTGCTAGCCACCGGTGACCGGGAATGATTGAAGGTTTATTGTAATCGGAATCTGTGTTGTTGTTCGGGCCGTCCGGACCGCTCAAGAAGTGTTTATGACAGTTTATGTTTAACGGGGCCGGGTCCGTTATCCCGCGCATGCCTACAGGCCACCGTCTAAATCGATGTGAATGGTTGGATGCAAGTTGGATGGGCTTATGATATATTTTTTATCATCTGAAGGAAACCCTCCAGAGTTTCCTTCAATTTGGTAGCTCTGGAGAGTTCAACTCCAGAGCTACCAAATTTTACAGATCTGGCGCATAAAGCGTTTCCGGCGCAATCACAAAAAAAAATCGCGTATATATATCTTTCCCGAGGGGGAGCATTCCGGTCTAGGGGTAAGATACTTGCCTCTAGATTCGGCCATCCGGGTTCGATTCCCGGGCAATGCACGTGGCATTGCCGCTACCTGACCGCTTGGAACAGCGTGAGAGTTCCGGTTAGCACCTTGGTCCACTGGATGTGGTGCTTAACCCAAACCAACCAACCATCTTTCCCGAGCGACAAAAAATCGTTGCCCCGTGTTGGAGTAAGTCGCTTAAAAATATTTTTTTCGCTTATGTCAATGTAGAATAGGTACGGCATAGAAGACTTGGTGCTTTTCTTTTTTCACGGTCAATTGCGACTGCGAGGTGCTTATTTGCATTGTTCACTGAGCTTTATCAGTAGGTGCTGTTGACGTGTGTGCTTGTTCGGTACCTACCGCCTACGTACCTAGTGTGTTAGATTTTGATATTTTTGCTTTCATTTTATTAATTATTTGAATTAATAATTTGATTTTTTTCTACACCGCCACTCATTTAAAGGTGACCAGGAGTGCCCCCTCCATCATCCCAGCGACATGCAGAACCTTACGATAACTCCAGTGAAATTAATATGATAAGTTGCGGCACTCCCAGCTAGCTAAGAGTAAGGAAAAAAAAGAAACAAAAGAAATATCACTGGAGTATGCATGCTGTTAATATAGTAACTTAAGAGAAGCAAAGTATTCACAACTGCAAACAGGGTGACTGCCCTTCTATGCCTGGAGGCTGGAGCGCCCACTGATGCACACTCACACAGGGCATTGTTAGTGGGAGGAAGGGATCAGAGGGGAAGCAGTCACACATAAATGTGGATGGTCGTAGCCCGTAGGTAATATTTCTGGTCAAATTCAAGCAAGGTCATTCACTGAGCCTCTGTAGAGCTATCCAACTAAGCATAGCTTGTTGTCAGACAGCCCACAGGGGCCAGTTCTGAGGTGGTTGAAGTAGAAATTACCTAATGCAATTAATTGATTGGTTGACATTTGCCACAATATATCTTTTTTTTAGGTATCATGTTGATGTCAGGGAAATAGTAGTTGAATAACCTTGAGTTAGTAGGCCTTGATTTTTGGTGAGACAGGCCAGGATACAAAGTTTTTCACCCCATCCTATGCTTTCCCTTTCAGGAAAACTTTAGAATCAAGCATGGGGAATGATGTGAGCATCAGTGCTGATTACACAGTCAATAAAGAGTCATTTGGTACTGCTGCTGAATGGGTGCTGTATGAGGGCAGGCGAAATATTCCTAAAGCAGCTGGACAACACACTGAAGATGAGGCTGCTGAAGTTCTGGATAACATTTCTGGCAATGTTGTCACAGTGTTTGTCGGAATGCCTGGAGAGAAACGTGGAAAGACCAGCACTCTCCACAATAATGTTCAGGTATGCTACCCTTCAGCAAGATGTGTGTTGTATGTTGAGTTAGCTAGAATGCAGAGCTGAAAATATCTAGGTGCTATGCATACTTTCATGCAATTATTATTTATTCTTCAGCTGCCCCTTGCTCAATTGCTATGCCATTTTGAGAGCTGTTTTTATAAAGAAATCCAAAAACTAGTCCATGCCTTACATCCGAAACTTTTATTATAAAACTTTGTTATCTGTCACTGTGAATTCTTCCTATATGACACATACAATGACAAATTATGTGCAGTTACTGTTGTGTAATTTTTATGTCCAGGAAAAAGCCCCCTGACTAACACTCCCTGTCGTCCCATGCGGCAGACGCTGATGACGGCGCGCCACCCGGACCTGCTGCGCTTCCTGAGCTGGCGCCAGACGGGCAGCCGGCTGGAGCTGGTCACGGAGCCGGTCCGGCCGCTGGCAGAGGTACGGCCGCGGCTCACCGAGCTGGACGTCAGCGGCGGACTGCTGGCGGTGCTGCGCGCCCTCGACTTCCTCCACAGACAGGTAACAGAGCAGTCTCCGGTAACAGACTAGTCTCCGGGACGGTAACAGACCAGTCTCCGGTAACAGACTAGTCTCCGGTAACAGACCAGTCTCCGGTAACAGACTAGTCTCCGGCCGGGGCGGTAACAGACTAGTCTCCGGTAACAGAGCAGTCTCCGGGACGGTAACAGACTAGTCTCCGGTGATAGACCAGCGGGCAACTCTTCCCTCTGTTCCCTCTGTAGACCTCTGTTCACAATATAATGCAGTGTGCAGAGGCCCAGGTCTACGACATGCACTAGCCTATCGCTGTTATGCTACATATTGAATAAGCCCGCCCATTGATAGATACATATTGAATAATCCCGTCCATGACATGCACTAGCCTATCGCTGTCATGTTACATATTGAATTAAGCCCTCCATTGACGGACCACCCTGTCCGCAGGCCGGGCTGTGCCACAATAACGTGTGTGAGGCGGCCGTGTTTGTGACGGCGGCCGGCGGCTGGCGGCTGGGCGGCGCCGAGTTCGCCTGCCCGTTCTCTGAGGCCACGCCGGAGCGGCTGCAGGCCACGGCGGCACACCGGTACCAGCCGGCACTGGCGCCGGAGGAGGCCGAACCGACCGCCGGCGCCAGTGAGACCTGGTGAGGAGCGCTGGGAGATGGCAGGGGATGGGTGGTGTGGTGTGCTTGAACGTGCTATCATGTTCGTTTGATGTTGATAGGCATGGTTATGAGTTTGCTAGCGGTTATGAAGGCATAGCGGTCTATGCGTTAAAGGTGCGCTTTGGCTTGGGAAAAATGTATTATACCAACCCTGTTATAAAACACAAAAGAAGTTTGCGTTGAGCTTCTATCTCGACACTTGACATGATGGGTAACGTGTAATGAGTGACTCAGCACAGCATTTGGTAATGAGTGCTGTGCTGCATTATGCATACCTGTTGGCATTTCCACTTTCGTAGCTTTATCAGTTTTTATTCTCTTCTCACTCATTTGTAAAGATTCTTGTGATTATCCTCTGTCATAACCATTATTCATCTTTGAAGACGATGAAATGTAGAAACCAACCTCTTTTGTGCACCTGACAGCTTTTACTCTTGCTTAGTGAAATATTTTGTATTCGGCATTTGTATAATTATCGTATGTTGCAACAGATAACAAACAATACGGCTCGAAGCGCTTCACTTCAACATTTCAAATGTCAATTTCACCAGAGCAAATCTCGATGGTCCAGCCAGTCGCTAAGACGTATCGATCAGTAGGCAATCTCTACCGGAATCTGGATGTAGAGTGTCGTTCACGCCTTCAGCACAGCCATGATCCAGTCAAGATGCGGCGCGACGGCAGCCGCCACGACCATGGGCGCGCGGCGGCGGCCGGCGCAGCGGCGAGCCCACGACACGAGGCCGACCAGTGTGGCCGAGCCGTCCGCGGCGGGGCACACCACCGGTGAGCCGGGGTCCAGCTGGCACAGGGTCTCGGCGGCGCGGCCCGGCCGCAGGCACAGGTCCGACGTCAGGTCGATCGACTGGCCGCGGCCGACCAGCGCGCCCAGACACTCGGCGCTGGAGGCGAACTCGACGGGCACGTCGGCGAGCGGCGCGGCTGCGGCGTCGTGGCTGGCCACGTCCCGGCCCCAGCCGGAGGCCCAGCAGCCGCCGTCGGGACTGGTCGGCGGCACGGGCGGCAGCGGGAGGCAGACGGAAGGCGCTGCCGGCCCGCCACCCGTCTCCAGTGGCGTCTCCAGCCGGAGAATGGCCACGTTGTGATTCTGGTCGCCTGGGTGGTACTTGGGGTGCACGATGACGACCGACACGCGTCGGAAAATCTCTTGGTCGAGGTCCTCCAGCAGGTCATGCATGTTGGCTACGACGACCAGCTCCTCAGCGGGTACCTGAACCACGCTGTGTGCAGCCGTGATGACGTGTGTGCTGGAGAGCAGTGCGCCGGCGCTGCGGTACAGGAGACCGTCCGGGTCCTGGCGAGTCACAGCCACCGTCCAGCGCGGCCCCGCGTCCGGCTGACCCGGCCGGCCGCAGCTCCGGCCGCCGCCGGGCAGTCTGGGTACGTCGAGCGGTGCCCGCGCTGAGCAGCAGATCAGACCCTGTTCGGCGCAGCGACCGGTGGACGCACTGATGAGGTGGTTCGGACACAGACTCGCCGGCGCACAGCGGCACGCGGACGGCTGCTGGGACGCCGGAGGAGGCCCAAACAGCAGCGCTCGGTACTGGGCGGCAGCTGGGGCCGGCCAGCTCGCTGTGATTATAAGGACTAGCAGCAGCTGGATAGTGGACGGCGGCGCCCCGAGCCACGCTGGAGGCGATATCCTCGTAAAGCAGCGCATCCCGTGATCAGTTGAATCTCGCAGCAGCAATACACCACCTCGTTGATTTTAGCGATTCAACAGATAAAGGTGTTTCGTTCTCATTCACGGTTTTCGCCTTACAAACATCACTGGCCACAATATTCTCACACGCTCCACTGCCACAGCATACACGAGCCACCACCAACCGCACTGACATCGCTTGGTATCTGGGAGACGGCCGGACTCCGCCCCCTCGAGTCACGTGACCGAGTCGAGGTCACAGGTCACCGTTGGGCATCTGACCCCGCCCGGGGGCGACAGCCAGACCGCTGCCGTGTGTGGGGAGGGGAAGAGGGGGCGTCTCGTTGCCGCAGTGCGGGCTGTGGGGAGGAATGTAGACTGGGTGAAGCTGTATTCTGTATCGGTGTCCGTTCTCTCTCACCGTTGGGGTTCGGCTGTGTCGGCAGGCGGCAGAAGCGGCCCTGGTGTCGAGATGTCTACGCTTACGGAGTGCTAGCCGAGGAGCTGATCGGGCCGGCTGTCCAAAACGGTAGTAATTCCCGTCTGGTTATCGGGACTGCTTGTCCAGTCGGTATTCGGCAATTATGCCCCTTTTTCTTTATGAGAGAAAATGATTGTTTTTTTAAGTTTCTTGTTTAATTCATTTTATATCTGTTTGAAAATGCAGATTTTATTCTTTTTGTAGAATATTGGTCAAACCCGAAACATGCTCGGACAATTTGATTGCATCAACTGATGCCGTTTCTCTTCACTCGTAACGCTAATTTTAGATAAGAGGTTTTCCGGTATTGCCATGCGTTACTTTTTGTTTTGTAAAATGTGAAGCCTTTACAGTTATCGTTCCTTTTTTATAGGCGTTCATCATCTGCATCCTCGTGTGATGTTATGCCACCAGTGCCCTGTACCGTCCTCATGATTGACCTTTATGCCTGCTCCACGTTTAAGACCGTTTCTGTTTGCCGTGCAGAGTTCCCGGGCGCCCGCCAGTTCCGTGACGAGGTGAAGCGTCGTCTGCTGTCGCGTGACCCGTTCGCCCGGCCTTCACTGGACCAGCTCGAGGGACACGACTTCTTCAGCAACGAGTTCAACCAAATCCACGGCTTCCTCGAGAACCTCGTGCTGAAAAGTCAGGAGGAGCGCAAAACGTTCTTCATGTGAGTCATTCACGCTAAAATTAGAGGAAAATTTTACCTAGGGCGTTTTGGTTATTTTCTTTGGTCCTTGCCGGTACAAGAATGACTGTATATAAGCCTCGAAATAAGCCCTTAAAATACTTGGAACGTTTCAGGTATACATTTTATCGCCAAAATCATATTTTGATAATGCAAAACAAATTCATGTTATTCGTTAGTTAACTAGGTATCGCCGAATGTAATGGATACTTATATAGAATGCGATAAAAGAATGAATAGCTAAATAAATATAGAGTTTGACTCAATGCCCAATCCGTGACCCGTCCCGTGACCCCCCCCCCGCGGCTGCAGTGACCTGGCCAGCCGACTGCGGGCCTACCCGGAGGAGCTGGTGGCCAGCCGCCTGTCGTCCCTGTGCCTGTCGCGGCTGGTGCTGCTCGACCCGGACGCCTGCCGACACTTTCTGCCGCGACTGCTGTCGCCCAGATACGGTGAGACTCGGTGGTGAGGACAGTGGTAATGGGTAACATGGCCAATAGTTGACCATTAACTTTAGCAAATTGATGATATAATCAAGTTGCTAACCCTTTAGCCCAAGCTGGACAATAAATAAACGTTTTTAATGCGCTCGGTAAAATTTGCCGCCAGTAGGTATTGCGACTGAGCTGCTCTAGATATTTATTTATTTAATCGTAATTTAAGATTTCGCCCTTTTTCATTCACCCCGTGTGCCATCCGCAGACCAGTACGCCACTGGTGAGTGCGTGCTCTCTCCGACGGTATTTCGGCGACACATTGTACCTCAGCTGCTGCGTATTCTGCACGTGCACGACGCTCACATACGGCTGGTGTTGCTGCAGCACTTCTCCAAATACGTGGCCGAGATCCCCAAACATCTGCTCGGCGATGTGGTTCTGCCTGAGGTAAGGGTGATATGTCCGCCTTGTTTGGGGTCAGATCGTAGGCTGAATTGTCTTGGCCTGTTAAAATGGCGTGTAGTGAGTTGGTATCGCCCCGGGTAGCTAACATTGTAACATTGAAACATTAGCTAACATTGTACCAAAACTTACGTAAAAATGTTAGTGTCTGAATATTAGACATGAATGTTCGCATGTAAGACGCGATTTGGCGTTCAGCTTAATGTATTCTGCATTTCTATCTGTTATTAATGCACATCTCTAGACCTCAATGCCTGGTATAACTGTACGTCGACAGCACTCCATACACCCGGTACGTAGACCATTGATCCAACCTTGTATGTTGATACGTGTTTTGCCCCTTAATCAGTGTATACTCTAGACGACTTTCAATTGCATGAACTGAACTACCGCTTTCACTGACGCTCCCTCCTCCCAACCCAGTTACTGCTGGGTATCCGCGACACGCACGACGATCTGGTGGCGGCCACACTGCGCGCCCTGGCCGATCTGGTACCTATCCTCGGCTCCCAGGTGGTCATTGGGCCGCACCGACACAAACATTTTGGAAACGGGACGCCCAAGGTACGTACGTCATTGGGAGTGGTGCGAGTGTGGCGCGTATTACGAGGTTTGGTGTTAACCCGCGCCCGGCTGGGGGTCCTGGATTTCCACGCCCTGCTGGGGGGGGGGAGGTTGTTTGAACACCCCCCTTGTAACTCGGCTCCTGGGCCACGTAGCGATACGCGGAAGGCGGCGTTCGAAAGAGCGTCGAAAATAATGACGACATTACTTCGGTCAATTTTTTGGTCAGGTCAAAGGTCAGGTCACCAGAGGTCATTGAAGGCAAAATTTCGCCGATTTCCAGGTCGAATGTCGAAAATTTCCAAGAAGCCAACGCATAACTCGAGACCCAATAGAGCTACAGCGCCGCGAAAAAGCGCATTCGATAGCCCTATTAAAGTCCTTTCTGAGTAATTCTCTCAGATTTGACCTAACGTCAACGGTTTTGCCTACAGGGGGCAAAAATTGCAAAAATAGCCGATTTTTTTCGGAAACAGTTTTTTTGCAATAACTTTTGACCCAAGCCTTGTACGAGCTTACTTTTACCGGCATTGTGTTCCTCTCGTCAAGACGCATCGAATGAACCATAAGTTGACCTTGAAAGGTCAACTTGAAAATTTGACCTCAGGTCAAGGTCATGACCTGACCGGAAAGGGTCATGTTGCATATCAGTCGATCGGTATCGTCGAGCTGAACACATCTAAGGCGTTTTCATCGCTCTAGCATGCCTCTAGCAAAAGTTATTTGCGAAAAACTGTTAGATACCATTCGTGACCTAAGATGACCTCAGGGCATAAACAAGGGTCACGGACACCATTTTCATGTTCAGTGTGTCTAAACCACTTGTAATTCGGTGTTTGGGAGTGTTTATAATGTCTTTTGTCCAAAAGAGGCGCATTTCAATTTTCCCCCATTGACTTATAACGGGGAGGTCGCAAAATTGACCTGACCTTAGGTCATCGATATCAAAATTCTGAGATAAACATTTTGTACATGCTATTGCTCTTAGCAATCGCTGAAAGTTTCAAAGCGATCAGTCACTCGGTGTAGCTATGACAGACATTGAAACTTTTTATGAGGTGAGGTCACTTCAAGTGACCTGGTGACCTGACCTTGAATGACCTTGGTCTAAAATTTTCACAACATGTGTAGAATTGATGTACGATAAGGTGTACCAAAAACGGCGGCGCTCCGCGCCGCCGTTTTTGAGATATTCGCGAAAAACCACAAGGGGGGGGGGGTGTTCAAACACCCCCCAGCAGGGCGCGGGTTAAAGATAGTGTACGTTATGGTTTTCCATAGTTGATGCTAGAGTTGTTACTGACGGTGTATGAATGCCTTGAAGTATTTCCCAACTTTAACTTCTTACAAGACACTTGCCTCACGTATTTCGGGCTTTGAAGTTTGAACACACCTTACTGGTAACTATTGGCAATATAAGCTTGAGTTGTTTCGGACAGCAGGAAATATCGATGCCATTACGCATCGGCATCGGCCAAGGACGAGGATATCAACTTTAAATGCTACTGTTTTGGCAAACATAACTTAGCCGTACATCTTTCCCGCTTCCAGGCCTCGTCTGGCAAAGGCGTCACCCCTGCAAGGAGGAAGCGTGTGACGCTATCGCAAAAGGCTACCGAGGCGCCGCCTGGTAAGTCCGAAACCCGAGTTTGTGTGCGCTTCGCGCTTAGCCTTTTCACTGAGAAGCTTCATTCGAAACCGTTATTGTGCTTGTTAAATGTTTTCATGGTATGGTGTTCGAGTGGTACAGTTGTACTTTTGAATTGGATTATCAACGATATTTCTATATATGATCTGTCCCTTGTAATCGTGCTCCGCCCTTGAGCAGATACATTTAAGACATGCTAGCTCATATTTGCTTAGTTATAACATTATCAACAATTAGACAAAACGCCGCCTTGGACCCTCTCCCACCACCACATTCCTCCCTATACCGCACCGACACCACCTGCCCGCTGCCGTGTCCCCAGAGCGTCGCCGGACCCTGCTGGAGCTCTCCCAGGCGGCGGCCGGTGAGTCGGACTCCCTGCCCGAGCGGCGTTCACCAGAAGGCGGCGAGGAGCTCGGTCTCGAGCCTGACCTGGGACCGGCCGCCGACGCTCCATCGGACCCCGGCTCGGACTCCGAGCTCGGCCCGGGAGTAGAGTCGGAGGATGTGGAGGAGGATGCAGGTGACTGGTCAGACTGGGAGGCGACTGATGTGGACCCCGACCCGCCCCCGATACAGGAGATCTTGGTGCAGCCGGAGGATAGCGGTGCGGTCTCTGCTGGGTTCGAGCTCAGCCCTACGCCTCTGGAGGCGGGCCCTGTACCGCAGACGGAGGCGGCTAGTGGGAAGACTGTGACTGAGGTCAAGGGTGACTCTCCGGCGGTGGAGGGGTCGGCGGCGGCGACTGCCGCGCGCGCCTCTGGCGGCGGCGGTCTGAAGCTGTCGGGCCGGGCTCCGCCGCCGCGCCGGCCACAACCCCAGCCGGCCAGTGACGACTTTGAGCGGTTCAGTATCCAGGTGCGGCGCAAAGAGCCGGAGGCAGAGGTGGATCTGTTTGCCGATATGCAGCCGGTGATACGGAGCGGCAGACCGACCCTGCTGGCCCCCGAACCGGCCCCGGCGGGGCCCAAGACCGACCCAAAGCCACAGCCGAGGCATGAGGTGAAGCCGGAGTTGGAACCTGAGGTGGTGAGCAGTCGCCTGGACATGTCCTTCCGTCCGGCAGACGGTGAGTTGACTGACGCCGGGTGGGGCGATGGCGACGACTGGGGAGACGAGTTTTAGGGCTCTGAAAGGCTGAGTGAGGGAGTTTTAGGCTGGATTTCTGAGCTGAGTGACGGGTGCTGAACGATTATGGCCTACACACATGATAGTGTGTCATAGGTGATTAAAAGGGATTTTTGTCCATGAGAGCGGTGGGGTTCGCAGATAGATGATATCACCGTAAGATCAAAATGTGATAAAGTCGCATTATGAGCTTCAACAGCCGTTAAGTTATTCGATGTTAGGTGGTTGAAGTTCCATATTTTCTTATGCCGTTGTTTGTTGGCTTGTTGTGCTATGCATTGCGAGTTCCTGTAAGTTTGCTTGCTGTATGTGTACTTTTCATGTGATTTACTTCGTGTTTGATGAGATAGCTAGACTGTGAACCGATGTTTTAACGAGTTATCCGTTTGGAAGGCGACAAGGTTAGTTTCATGCTTGATCGAGGTTCGCACAGCTCACTCCTCATTCATCTGACCCATTCCAGTGTTCTACGAAATGAAGTGCGAGAGAATAAATGCTTACTATTTAACTTGACAGTTTATTGTGGCGCCTTGCGTAGCCTGGCATTAACAACTCGGTGGTTTTACAGCACAACTCGTCACACTAGTCCGCACAAACAAAACCATCAGCGGTGCGGTTCAGGAGCGCGGTCGACCGCTGTTTTCCACCCTGTCGGTCTTTAATGAGCTGTTGGAGCTGCCGTTTTCAGTACATATGTCCGCAGGTCCGACCCGACACCAGCAGGTCCCGGACGCCAGCAGTGGCGTTCTGGCACTTCTCCCAGGGAATACGGTCCATTTGTGTGATATCTGAGGGACGGAAACGTTGTATCGGTGACATGTTTTCGCCGTCCTAGCGGAATGGTGAAAGTAAGTGTGTAATGTGTATGTTGTGTCCCCCGGATCAGATAGTAAGACTATTTAGAGTCTGTATTCAGGTCGTACTAGAGGTGGTTCTTAGGTCGTTGGATAAGCCAAACACCAATTGATGCACACAAGTTTCAGTTTTATTGTGATATCGCCATCGCGACCGTCGCCCAGATCACAATTGAATGCACAGTTTGGGGCATCGGCTGTCGATGGTGGCCTGTCGACGGCCTGACAGGGTACACATAGGGGGGTCTTTACATTTCTGTCATTTAGCTCATGCCTATTATTACTTTTGATCAAGCCTGTTCCCGGCGTTGACAACTAGCTGAGATTCTGTTTGAATCGACCAAATACAAGACATACACGACAAATCCACTCTAAGCAGCGCCTTAAGCTCATAAGGCACTGCCAGCAACTCCTAGCGCCACACAAATCCCAGCAAACACAAGAGAAGAAAGTCGCAGAGAGCTGTCCAAATAAATAACGCTCCACTAGATCAGCGGCTGGACGTTGATTCGACAAATCTGTCTGATAAATTCGGGATGAATCCAGTCATGCATCCCAACACGGACCGAAGCTGTCAGAGGACACCATTAATCGTCCTTTTCCACCACGCGAGTTCGATGGTGCCATTCAGATCAGCCTCGGCCAACGGACGAGCGCTATCGAAATCAGGATCAACGTATGGCGAGTCGTATCCCGGGTGAGCTATGGTAGGTGATGAAATAATTTTCACGTGTTCCTACGGGGACGGGGTAGGTCTGTTCTCTCTCAGACTGTGATGGACGTATTTTCTCAAAACAGCTCACGCGCACGCACACGCGCCATTATGGTAGTTACGATCACGGAATAAAACAAAACTCACTTAACGAACAGAACATGGGTAGGTCGTTTGTCCTGAACAGTTCATGCGCAAATAGCACGGTCAAGTTGAAGCTCGAACAAATGGCTCCCATTTATCTCTTCGCAGGGCGTTGCAATACATTTTATGCCACCATTCTCCTCGGTAAACCACAAAAATCACTAGTTCATCGGAACAAACACCCACAACACGAACGATCTTTCTCGCACAGCACTGGGGCGGAAAATCCTCCAGGTAGGGTCACTGCTTTGGTCACCAGTTGACACATCCAACGTCAAGTCTGAGCTCGTTCGCGCGCACGGCTTCAGTTCATGCTCGCCTGCTTCACAGCCGAACGTACGGACATCGATTGTCTAAGACGGCTGCGATCGTTTCACCAAGCCCCGGCACTCACTCAGCGTCTCCAGCGTCACATCACCGCATGCGTCGCCGCGTCCCAGGGTCCGTACGCACACTGTCAGCTACACCCAGTACTGGTTCTTCCTCAGGATCGGGTTGCTAGGCTGGCTGGCGCTAATGTCGGAGCCGTCCTGGCTCCAGTCGTCGCCACAGAACTGGCGGTCGGCGTCCACGTCATACGAGTACGTGACGTCGGCCGGCTGCGCTCCCGTGTAGAGCGGCGTCACGGTACACTGCGGCACGCACGGAGACACGTCGCGCTCCGGCCAGCCGGGCTCCAGGAGACGCGGCTGCTCCAGATGTCTGGGTCGCGGCAGGCTGCCGCCCGTCACCGAGATCCGCGGCCTCGGCAGAGTGCTGATGGAGGGCCGCGGCAGCGTCGAGTTGATGAAGTCGGGCGTGGTGGCGCGACTCACGGTGCGCGGACTCTCGCTGGGGGGCAGCTCAGTGAGCGGAGCGGGGCCCAGCTCGCGGGCCTTGCGCTCCGCGCGCCGCCGCCGGTCAGTGATGCACTTGACGACGATCAGCAGAAGGATCGACGTGACCACTACACCAATCACCACGCCCGCCACCAGCACGTAGTCACTGCGGATGAAGGAACTGGAGTCCTGCGGCCGGCCGCGACCTACCACTGAGTTGACGCCCGGCGTGGCCTTCTCGGCCTCCAGCGCCGCCTCACTGAGGAGGCGCACCTGGAGTTCCCCACGCGCGGGCTGCACGCCAGACGCCGTCAGCTCGAACCTCACTGCGTCTGACAGCGTCTGGTTTCCCGTCAGATCCGCCGGCGCCGCCACAAAGAAGATGACGTTCTGTGTGACGTCGGCGTGCGTGAATGAGGTGACGTTCCATGCGCGGGTTTCTCTCCTCTTTCTCCGGTCGCCGACCGGCACTATCTGCGTGACCCGGCCGTGCCGCGGAGGCTCCAGCAACTGGTAGCGCGGGTTGCTGTTCGTGCGAGACGCGAGCTCCGTGGCGTTGAGGACCGCGAGACTCAACAGCACTAGCTGTCCCGGGGCGCAGCGCAAAGGCGTCATGGCCACCAGTGGTGTCGCCAACACTACGAAGGTCTCGTTTCGTATGCCGTTGAATTCGTTATAGACAGTGGCGGCGAAGGAGTCGTTGGGCGCACTGAGGTCCATTTGCAGGTAGGACACCCGTCCTGCGTCGACATCCGCTTGGGAGAACGTTGTCACCATGTCTGCACCAATGAAGAGACGTCCCCTGGTCGGTTCGCGTGTGACGTTGAACACGATCTCACTGCGCATACCGTTCGTATCGGCGGATACCTGCTCCGGTTTTAGGGTGACGCGACTCTGGCCCTGCGGCAGACGCAAGGGCAGGTTCCGTGCAATCGTCAGCGAGAGGGGCACCACCGTGATGCCAAAGCTGGTCATCAGCGGGCTGTGCACGCCGTCCCAGACGCTGAAGAGGAACTGATCGCTGCCGAGGGAGCCGTCCTGCGCGTACAGCAGCCTCTCAGCGTCGACGTCCGCCTGACTGAAGTTGGAGACCCTGACGTGCGGCTGCCCGCGGAGGAACACTCGGCCGCGACTGGGGCCGCTGATGATAGTGTAGAGGATCTCAGATGGAGCGTTGTCCGGATCGGTCACCTGCAGGTTTCTTGTGGTGATCGAGGCGGTTTGCTTCTGCACAACAGACACGCCCGGCGCGGGAGTCTCCAGCCGGAACTTCTGGTCGTTGACAGGCACCACGGTGACGTTGACGGTACCGTTGTAGAGGAGGACGTCCGAGGCCGACGTGGCCAGGAACAAGCTGTAGCCGAAGCTGTCCGTCAGCGTATCCGAGTGGTCGTGCCGGTAGGACAGCCTGCCGGCGTTGATGTCCTCCTGAGTGAGGAACCCGCTCAGGGATCCCCCACTCCCGTCCGATGCACCAACGGCGGGCTCCAGGCGCAGCTGGCCGTGTCGGGGCGGTGTGGTGAGTCGGATCCGCACCTGGGGCGCCTCCTGGCCGGCCGAGTGGCTGCGCAGGAACTCGGCCACGCCGCTGACATCCAGCACGGCGCGACTGACGCCAGCGGCGCCGCCCTCGGGCAGCCGCAGCGGCACGCCGTCCACGTAGCGCCGCAGACCGCCGCGCGTCATCGTCGTCACCGACACGGCGACCTCGAGCACGACGCTGGTCAGCGGCTCGGCCGGCGGCGTCTCGACGCGTAGCTCGACGCTGTCCGAGGCGGAGAGGCCGGCCAGCGGGCGCTGGTGCTCGTACAGCACCAGGCTGCGGTTCAGGTCCTGCTGCGTGAACCAGCTGACCTCCACTGTGCTGCCGTCCGGCTGCTCCCTGCAGACAAACACCGGGAAGGGGACCTGTTAGCCGTCTGCTCATTGTTTAGTGCTTACCACATCATATGTCCAGCACTCGAACCATTGGTATGTTCCATTCCGCTTAGAATTCCGCTCATAATGATGTGCTGAATGGGTCTGGAGAGCGACTCGAGGTTTGAGGCATCGCCAGCTTCGATCGGTCGCGAGGAGGAATTGAAATGCCTCCCTGACAGGGTCAGACATGCAAAATTCCAAAAGTTTGTCTGATGGTGGTGAAAAACCGAATTAATCAGTATCCACCAGCTATTCGAGAAGACTGTGGTCAAACGGGGCGATTTAAGTTGCGAGACGGGCGAGCGTTAATCATGGTGCATTTAGGCATTCATCGAGTTTTGAAGCATTTTCAAAGACTATACCTCCAAACGAACGGAAACGGCACTCCATGTGATGGACCAACATTTACCTACGTGCTAGATTTTGTGAGATGTTGCGAGTGCTTCCATTCGTTGACTCTGGCCACTATCCAATTGATTCAAAGTTAGAATAATACTTATAACTCAGGTGACCTGGGTAGATCACATTCACCGGTCATCAACCATCACCATCTTCATCGACAATCGAACTTTGAACTACCATGCTAATGCTCGAAGAAGCTGACGTTGACAATTGACATCACAGCGACACATACCCAATGTTATAAAACCATCTCTATTGGCTTTTGCGAAGAGGTACCTAAGTAAACGTAACATCCCTTTCTCTTACGTCTTCAAGACGCTTTTAGAAGTCTGCCATCACAATTCCTCTTTCATCCAGCACAGAGCTCGGCCTGCCAATTCTCTCCGCCGCCGCTGAGCTTAAATATCCCATTTCTATCCTCTGGACCAGAGATGACGGCACACCTTTTGAACTTGGCAGCTGAGAAAAGCCGATTGGCTCGGCGTAGCCACAGGCGCTCATCGGCTCAGACCGCGAACGGTCTTCGCGTCTGGCGACTGCTGGTGAGAATGGAGCTCAGGGGCGGATCCAGAAAATCTCCAAGGGAGGGGCCATTAGAAACCAGGAGGCCCCCCCCCCATAATCCCACCTGTTGGAGGCCCCATCTTCCCACTTGTTG